TCTTTCAGAAAAATGTTTACTTTTGCACTCCAAGCAAGTCAGAAGTGAGCCTACATGGTAGAAGGAGAAACCAAGTACAGCTGCGACCAACTCCACAACAGTTAGACTAACTTCAGCCACCTACTTTGAGTTCAACTTCAGCATTTCTTTTACTAGTGAGTGTGAGAGATATTTTGTATGCATTGAAAAATGATGAAAGCTAACTTTGGCTCATGTAATAATGTAATAGTGCAGCAAAAAAATTCTAGCTGGTTTTGTTTCTAATTCCTATTTGATTTTTAAATGTATTTTTCAGATCCTCTAGACTACAAACAAACAAGTTAACATCTGTGACAATAAAATTAATTGATTAAAATTTACTTATCACTGTCATAGCCTGCCAAAACTTTCTCCTTTTGCTTGGAAAATACAATGCCAATTTTCTTATCATTTATAGATATCATGATTTATAAATGGAATAAATCAGATGCAACCTGTTATTCAAAGTATGCAAAATGACAAAGATTAACAGTTCAAACCTTGTGTAAAATAGCACTAAAATGTTTTGACATTTCTACTTATTGTTCTCAATTTCTGTCATGTGAATGCTTTTCATATATACATTTTTGTGTTTCATTTTTTATTGATATGACAAGAAATAGATATAGAGATAAAAAAAACAACATTTTGATATGCTCACATTATTTTTAGGATGTATATTTAACACATTCACTAATATATAAAAATACAGCAATACTTAATTTCAAAGCACTGAGACAAGGACATATAATAACCTCCCTAAAAAAGAATGAAAAAATATATATATATAATAACCAAAATAAAAAAAGCAAAACATAAACAATAAAAATAAGAAGAATGGTGATAATGATGATGATGATAATGAGGAAGATTGTGATGGTGATGATGATAATGAGAATAAATATAATAATAATAATAATAATAATAATAATAATAATAACAAATATGATTAATAATACTATTATCACAATAATCATAATTACAAAAATAAGACAGCCAATCATATCAACAATGATTTATAATAATAATAATGAGAATAATAATACCACACAGACAATTAAAAACACCATTTTTCAATTCTTGTCTTTCACCTTAGTTCAAATAAAAAAAAAAAGGAAGGAAGAAAAGAAATAACTAAAATCCAACATCATAACCTTGAACACTATAATGAAGGTTAATAATGCTTCTTAATACTCCAACTTGACACCTGAACACGTGTCACAATTAATAAGAGCACCATCTGATCACCATGGCACACAAACAATTCTCTGTGTCATCATCTGGTCAAAGACATGAGAATCATTTGCAATGGTATTTGCACGAAAAGCCCTTCTATAAACAGGCCCACAACTCCCAACATGGTGTAGAAGCATGATCCGAGAGTAAGGCAGACACTGTTCTAAAAAATTGTACATGGGGAGACTGATATTTTACATTTGTAAAATCTTGGGTGTGTGAGGGAGGGTCCATAATGCACATAACAAAAGATGATAAAGAAAAGGAATGAAAGAACGGCAAAAGTTAATGAAAGACAAAAAAAGAAAATCTTCACAATGGCATTATCACAATATCTATTGTGGGGGGCAGGGGGAGAAAGAATATGAGGAAGAGGAGGAGGTGGAGGTGGAGGAGAACATAGAGGTGGAGGAGGACATGGAGGTGGAGGAGGACATGGAGGTGGAGGAGGAAGTGGAGGTGGAGGAGGAAGTGGAGGAGGAAGTGGAAGTGGAAGTGGAAGTGGAAGTAGAAGTAGAAGTAGAAGTAGAAGTAGAAGTAGAAGTAGAAGTAGAAGTAGAAGTAGAAGTAGAAGTAGAAGTAGAAGTAGAAGTAGAAGTGGAAGTGGAAGTGGAAGTGGAAGTGGAAGTGGAAGTGGAAGTGGAAGTGGAAGTGGAAGTGGAGAAGTAGAAGTAGAAGTAAGTAAAGTAGAAGTAGAAGTAGAAGTAGAAGTAGAAGTAGAAGTGGAGAGGAGGAGGAGGAGGAGGAGGAGGAGGAGGAGGAGGAGGAGGAGGAGGAGGAGGAGAGGAAGTGGAAAGGAGGACGATAAGTGGGAAGTTGAGGAAAGGAGAGAAGGAGATGGAGGAGAGGGAGAGGAGAGGGAGAGGGAGAGGGAGAGAGGGAGAGGGAGAGGGAGAGGAGGAGGAGGAGGAGGGAGGAGGAGGGGAGGAGGAGGAGGAGGAGGAAGAGGAGGAGGAGGAGGAGGAGAGAGGGAGAGGAGGAGGAGGTAGATTAACAGATAAAGAGAAGAGGTACATTATACATATCAAAATAATATAATTCTTATTTCATATTTTACAATAATCAGGTAATCTTTTATTTTATGAATTAAAATTGTGAAATATAAAGCTTCACTTTTGCTCTTTCTTTAATTTCTAGGAATTTGTCAGCCTAAGGGCAAGTGCAACCGTTTTGATGGAGTATGCAAGAGTTCTTGCGATGGAACAGAGCGAGAAATAACGAGAGGATGTAAGAAGAAATGTAGTTGTTGTGCCCCGAAGTGTACACAAAATGGGTGCCAAGGTCAATGCGTTAGCAAAAGGAAAGAATGCAACGGGAACTTCATCAAAAATGGCTGTGGCGGATTTAAATGCCATTGCTGCACTTCGGGTGGTAAGTTGTGTAACATGCCAAAGTAAAAACTGTGTTAACTAAAAAAAGGTAAGTTTTTTCTGTTTATGTACATCATCCAGATCCTAGTCTTTAAAAAAAAAAAAACAGTAAGTATCTGAAAATAAGCTGAAGTAGCTTGCAATTTCTCTAAAGCTAACCAGACCCAAATGATATTCACTGCATCAAGCCTCTGTTAAGAAGGGTGGGTAATTAGGCAGGAAGATGGCTGAGAATCTTTGCAGAAAAATGTTTACTTTGTGCACTCCAAGCAAGTCAGAAGTGAGCCCTACATGGTAGAGGAGAAACCAAGTACAGCTGCGACCAACTCCACAACAGTTAGACTAACTTCAGCCACCTACTTTGAGTTCAACTTCAGCATTTCTTTTACTAGTGAGTGTGAGAGATATTTTGTATGCATTTGAAAAATGATGAAAGCTAACTTTGGCTCATGTAATAATGTAATAGTGCAGCAAAAAATTCTAGCTGGTTTTGTTTCTAATTCCTATTTGATTTTTAAATGTATTTTTCAGATCCTCTAGACTACAAACAAACAAGTTAACATCTGTGACAATAAAATTAATTGATTAAAATTTACTTATCACTGTCATAGCCTGCCAAAACTTTCTCCTTTTGCTTGGAAAATACAATGCCAATTTTCTTATCATTTATAGATATCATGATTTATAAATGGAATAAATCAGATGCAACCTGTTATTCAAAGTATGCAAAATGACAAAGATTAACAGTTCAAACCTTGTGTAAAATAGCACTAAAATGTTTTGACATTTCTACTTATTGTTCTCAATTTCTGTCATGTGAATGCTTTTCATATATACATTTTTGTGTTTCATTTTTTATTGATATGACAAGAAATAGATATGAGGATAAAAAAAACAACATTTTGATATGCTCACATTATTTTAGGATGTATATTTAACACATTCACTAATATATAAAAATACAGCAATACTTAATTTCAAAGCACTGAGACAAGGACATATAATAACCTCCCCTAAAAAAGAATGAAAAAAAATATATATATAATAACCAAAATAAAAAAAGCAAAACATAAACAATAAAAATAAGAAGAATGGTGATAATGATGATGATGATAATGAGGAAGATTGTGATGGTGATGATGATAATGAAAATAAATATAATAATAATAATAATAATAATAATAATAACAAATATGATTAATAATACTATTATCACTATAATCATAATTACAAAAATAAGACAGCCAATCATATCAACAATGATTTATAATAATAATAATGAGAATAATAATACCACACAGACAATTAAAAACACCATTTTTCAATTCTTGTCTTTCACCTTAGTTCAAATAAAATAAAAAAGGAAGGAAGAAAAGAAATAACTAAAATCCAACATCATAACCTTGAACACTATAATGAAGGTTAATAATGCTTCTTAATACTCCAACTTGACACCTGAACACGTGTCACAATTAATAAGAGCACCATCTGATCACCATGGCACACAAACAATTCTCTGTGTCATCATCTGGTCAAAGACATGAGAATCATTTGCAATGGTATTTGCACGAAAAGCCCTTCTATAAACAGGCCCACAACTCCCAACATGGTGTAGAAGCATAATCCGAGAGTAAGGCAGACACTGTTCTAAAAAATTGTACATTGGGAGACTGATATTTTACATTTGTAAAATCTTGGGTGTGTGAGGGAGGGTCCATAATGCACATAACAAAAGATGATAAAGAAAAGGAATGAAAGAACGGCAAAAGTTAATGAAAGACAAAAAAAGAAAATCTTCACAATGGCATTATCACAATATCTATTGTGGGGGGCAGGGGGAGAAAGAATATGAGGAAGAGGAGGAGGTGGAGGAGAACATGGAGGTGGAGGAGGACATGGAGGTGGAGGAGGAAGTGGAGGTGGAGGAGGAAGTGGAGGTGGAGGAGGAAGTGAAGAAGTGGAAGTGGAAGTGGAAGTAGAAGTAGTAGAAGTAGAAGTAGAAGTAGAAGTAGAAGTAGAAGTAGAAGTAGAAGTAAAGTAGAAGTAGAAGTGGAAGTGGAAGTGAAGTGGAAGTGGAGGGAGGTGGAGGAGGAGGAGGAGGAGGAGGAGGAGGAGGAGGAGGAGGAGGAGGAGAGGAGGAGGAGGAAGGAGGAAGTGGAGAAGGAGGACGATGAGTGGGAAGTTGAGGAAAGGGAGAGAAGGAGGTGGAGGAGAGGGAGAGGGAGAGGGGAGAGGAGAGGGAGGAGGAGGAGGAGAGGAGGAGGAGGAGGAGGAGGAGGAGGAGGAGGAGGAGGAGGAGGAGAGGAGGAGGAGGAGGAGGAGTAGATAACAGATAAAGAGAAGTACATTATACATATCAAAAAAAATAATTCTTATTTCATATTTTACAATAATCAGGTAATCTTTTATTTTATGAATTAATCTACTGTCATCTTTTTTACTTGAATTTTCCATCCCTCCAAGGATCATGAGCTTCCTCCTTAAAAAAAAGCTCCTTCAGGACAGCCGTTTGCCCAGTGCCCTCGCCGACCTGCAAAAAAAAGGATATTTGATTATGCTTCTCGTCTACATTCTTACATTTGTTAAAAGCATATCAACAAAACTTATCAACAACCCCTATGATCCAGATGACTTGACCATAATGTCATGAAAAAATCTGGCTTGAAGGGAATGTGTCGTGATTATGCCCTCATGGGAAAATATGGCTGAGGGCCATGGTGACAGGAACTTGCCATCAGGAGAATTTCAGCTGAAGGAAAGGGTGAAGGGACTGACTCGCCACAAGAGCACAAACTGTCATAGTATGATTAGACTTGTGCATCTGACCTACAAGCCTGCTCTTAAATGCAAGATTTAAAGGGGCCATCATGCTAGGGAATGAAGTTCATCAATTATAATTCAATTTTCGTGATTTTTAAGTTATATATATATACATATACTGAGATTTATACCACCAAGTTTCATATCATTTGGATACTAAACAATGAAGAATTTTTTTTTTAAGTTTTTGAAAAATCACAAAATTTCTTGTTTCGCAATTATCCATTGAACAAACTTGTTGAAAAAAATACCATATATACTCTATAGCAATACCTAAATAACCAACAAACAGATTTTGAAATTTCCTCTTAGTTTAGTGGGAAGATTTTTTTTTCTTTATTTTTTTTATGTTCATTGTAACGAACATAAAATACAATATTTGGCCTTCTATCACCTGAAATGAAAATCACTCCATTGAAAAAAATCACAAATTTACTCAGCTTTCAAATTATCCAAACCCCATTAGAATTGCCCAAGCAGTTAAGGAGAAATATAAAAATGTTTTAACAAAGGTGTAATTTTGAGATATCAGACTTTGAAGTTGATACTTTTCCCTGTATATATATATATATATATATATATATATATATAATATATATATATATATATATATTATATATATTTTTTTTTTTTTTTTTTTTTTTTTTTTTTTTTTTTTTTTTTTTTTTTTTTTCTTTTTTTTTTTCTTTCTTTTTTTTTTTTTAAGAATTCAGATATTTGCATCAATCTTGATACATTCTATGCCATTTACATGGTATTCTGAAGTGTAGCTGATATCTGGTCCCTCCTTTTGCAAGGTAACACTTGCACTAACTGCACCTGGTTGTTGAAGTGCAACCTTGTCATCACAGGCTTTACAGTGCCTCTGCAGTAATTGGTGAGGCATTTCTTACAAATAAACAAATGCTGCAGCTGTGATTGTGAGATGTAGTTCTCATCGTAAGGTTTATCAGTTACAGGCATAACATCTAACATTAGCTGTGTCCTATTAGTGTGCGATGAGGGCACAACAGGGGTACATCTATGTGATGATGTTGAGATGGCAGGAGATTCAACAATCTTTCTCTGCAAAAAAACAACTTAGTCGAGTATATCTGCACGAAAACGATACAACAGCAACCAGGGAGGAGCGGGATTGCCAAAGCCTACTAGATTACAGATTTTTTTCCGTTTTTTGAGTACTTTAGAAAATATTTGTCAAAAATTCAGCACGACGGCCTATTTAACCCTAAGCTGCTAGGCCTGGCATGTACGTACATGCCATTGCCCATTGTGTGTGCTGAATTTAGTATTTTTTTTTACACAAAGATGGCTCCACAAGTACTAAGTCACCAATGACCCAATTGCACGAACTACCTGTCTCACCTGTTTACTGTTTTCTTTGATTTTCAATAATATTTTCTTGTATTCAATAATGCTGTTAGTAATGTAAACAACAATATAGTAATTATAATGTTTATAACAAAAATAAGTGTCAATATTGTTAGCATTAGTAAAAAAAAAAGCGTTTTCCTGCTTTTTCAAGGAAAAATGAGGTGGTAAGATCTTCTAATTGACCCCTTTGTGGCTAAGCATTGGCAGAGCCATCTATTTGCTGAAATATTTAACCAAGCATTGCCAAAGGGAACGCACCATTTTCCCATCAACATTAGGTTAAGACTGAAATACCTATATATCAGAAAAGATTCTATCCTCCCATCTGCACATATCTATATAAGCAAGCAAACTAACTGTCATATTAGCAGCTACCCTAACAGATATCTTTTTGTTTTTGAATAAAGAAAATCCTCAATTTTCCAATAAATATGGTATTTGCAACTTGTGAGTACCCAATTGATCTGTTACACTGATCTATCAATCAGAAAGACCACCCACTTAAGTACAATGTGTCATGTTCAAAACCCCCTCCTTCTTCTATCTTTCACATTGTATGCAATGGGCTATATGAGGTAGGAGGTTTAACAGTTAGGGGTCTGTGGTATGGGGCTTTAGGTTTCAGTTTCAGTTTATCAAATGTTATCACAGCACACTGTATTATATGGTATGAATTTACTACCACATTTATACATTTGGTATGTGTCTATAGATCAAGTGCCTGAGATGACATTGTGGTCTTACCATGAAACAATGATGTGACAATCAGTCTTATACATCATAAAACATATCTGAAAAAAGCTGTCAATCAACACAAGTACCCAAGTTGCTAGGAATACTCTTGGATTGCCCCCAGGCACATGGAAACAGAAAAGAATTCCTCCCTTGTAACTGTATGCAATCATAATAATTGTTTCTAATGTTACATGAGAAGAAGTAATCTAAAAGTGACTTGCATTTATCCCCCCCTATAACTTTTCATTTCTATGCCCCCAACCCCTCATTCAAATAATAGGTATACCTGGGTGCATCTGCTCAAGACAGTCACCCAAAGACAACTTGTAACTGCAGTCACACACTACAGACAGGCAGACATCAGACAGATCAGTCCACTCTTCCAAACCTAGTAAAACTTCAATATTCTGTTTGATCAACCTTCAACCCCAAAAAGTACTGTGGAATTCAAGTCTCCAAATATGATATTCCTGTTACATATAATTGTCAAATCTGTCATTCCTTCCAACAATCAAACCTATATATTCTGTGCAAATTTGACTTTCCCACTACTTGAAAAATGTTCTCTTAGAAAACAGTCATATACTCAGACTATCATAACATGTAACTTGGTTTTATGCCTTCTTCACAATCTGTTCCACTTTTACAGGCAAACCTTGGATCAGT